CGTGCGTACGCGCGTGTGGAGTGTGGATGTGCCAGTGAATGTATTTCCCTAGCTGTGTTCAGCTCCGCTTTCAGTTTTAAGATCATGACACGTTGGAACGTGGATGTGCTACCCCCCCCCCCCCCCTCCCCATTTTTCATCTTATCTGCAGGCAGATTTGCTCATCCTCGTCTTTATATTTTCATGTCAATTTGCTATTTTTCTGATGCTTTCTGCTTTCATGACGATAGCAGGCATTCTTCACTAAAGCATTGTCTTTTATGTCGTAGTAATAATTTTTACTGGTAGTTGCCGACATACTGTGTTTCTTTTCTCTACAAAATCCACATATCTCCAGCCACTGGGGTGAGTAATGGAGTGTGGTGGTGGGGCACATTTAAGGCCGTTATTACACTACGGCACGTGCCTCGCGTCTGACATCACGTGCTCCGTCTCACATCACGTGCTCCGTCTCACGGCAGGGCTCGGGGGAAAACGCTGACCTGCCCTCGAAAGCCCAAGTCTGGATTTGCTCACGGCACGGCTCGCGTTCGGATCACGTGACCCGAAACCGTCAGAATCTGATCAAACTTGAGTTAGACAGTAGTGTAAACGCGAGCCGCGAGTCGTAGTGTATTCTAACGGCCTAAGCTCATCCGACCAGAGTGTCCTGACCTGCCAGTTCATACTGTGTTCTTTGTGTGTTCTTTGCTTGGCAAGCTTTTAAGCCGACGTGTGGCGTTCATGGGAACCATGGATACCTCCCAGGTTACCTGCCTGCTTTCAAAGTATCAGACCGTGTTTGCATGCATGTCCGAAGTGGATCGTAGAGAGCATTTATTTTCACATTATGCATTGGCATCTCGGGACAATCTGAGGGTAGCGGTCCTACTTGTAGTATGTAGTACTAGCGGATACGCGTTGTTATCAGGCAGCTCATACTGTCATAGTCATACTCCGTGAGAATAGTGTTGAAGACTCCAGTACCGCACTTGACTGCGAACGGAGAAGTCACCCCCCCCCCCCCCCCTAGCGGTCGCACATCTGACTGCAAAAAAAAACATGGCACAGCTAACCAAATCAAGGTATGGGTCATCGTCACTCAACAGTTTAGTCGATTGAGCTAGCTAGCTTTTCTCCCGGGGCCCAGGCTAGAGGTGGGCTCACACCCCTGTAAGACAACCAAGGGCGCGTTCGAATTGTCACTCTTTGACTTTTCGAGGAGCTTCGTTTTTCTGAAGAGGTGGCCTTATTGGCCTCTTCAGAAAAACGACACTCCTCGAAACTCCTCAAAACTCCACAAGCTCATCCGATGGGAGAAAATTAAAGGATTAGTTCCGAAGAGTTTGGAATAGCTACGTCACGTAGTACGTGGAGATGGTCGATCTGATCGGACGTCATCATCGCCATGACAATTCCACTGAACAACTCTAAAAATGATAGAAACCTGTCTAATGGGACGCATCAACTAACCTCTTTAAAAAAATTGCTCGAACAGTAGGAAGACAATTCGAACGCCCCCTAACATCCCCATGTGTCAAACCCCAAGACCAAGACACAGTCCATGCAGCCACACTGGTCGCAATTTTAAAATCCTGATCACGGTGGACACTGCAATTATGTACATCGTCATGACGTACGTCCTGTGACGGTGTAGTATCGCACTGGATTCCCATGTCCCGCTAGAAATCGAAGGGAGCCGGAGAGCAAGCATTCGCAAATATTTCGGCACTGACCTGAGCTGCTAGTAAACGCTCGCTTGCCAAAAGCTCTTGCGGAGGGGGGGGGGCAAGTGTACCGTGCACATCAACGAAAGCTGAATGTGGGTGTGTTAACACTCAGCTGGAAATGATGGGCATTGAAAAGAAATCTTGTAATCATGAGTGGGCTCAAGAGAGCCTACTAAATCGTGTACAGTCACAACAACGGAAAAAACACTTGTAGCTGCTAACGAGAGAGCTTGGAAGCTCAGGGCTCTACGCTATGCTTTTTTGCCTAGCTCATCATGCATTTTATTAGAACTGATGGAACTTTCTCTTTGGCCCCAACTTCGTTGCGGTCTCATAGTGTTTTACGTCGACCATGACGGCTACAATGCCCAACCATACCACAACGAACTGATCGGCTACATCATTGTATTGCAAAAAGTTTCCATCTGTTCGAATAACATGCATGATGAGCTAGGCAACAAAGCATAGCGTAGGACCCTGAGCAAAAGAAACAAGCAGCTGCTGCGATAGCACGGCGCAATCCAATAATTCTGAATTCAGGTTCTTGTTCAACCTGCGCAAAGCCCGGATTCGATTGCTGATTGACCATGCATTCTTTCAGAAGTCTGCAGTCCGACGTGAGTCTCGTGGCTAAGGAAAGTTGTTCTAAGCGTTTTCTTATCCATCAAAATCTATCACGAAGTTTTTGTTAACGGAGGAAGTTTTTATGGACGCTGGCTAGCGCCATACGTTACTGCACTATCGCCCTGCATGCATTCCCCGATACACTTCGCATACATACAATGTACATCAAGAGTACATAACCCCCAGGAGTACATAATCCCTGGGGGTTATGTACTCCTGCATACATGTATATGCCAGGCCTCTACGGTCTTGATGGTACGGTACGGGATAGCGCCAGGCATGACACAAACAAACAAACAAACACGGAATTAAAGCTATGTGGACCCTGGCTAGCGCCAGACGTTACTGAAGTAATGTCTTCTGCATAGCTAGTGGGAATAATATTATTCTCTTTACTCGTCTGCCAGAAGCAGTCAATGATAATTTCTAGGAAAAAAACGTTTCTGTAAAAACGAATCCATGTCTGTTGGTTGTGGATTGGGTGTATTGGGCTCTCGATTATTGCCTTCATGTCTTGGCCTAGAATTCAAATTTGGCACTAGTTTCCAAAGGGATTTCTGGTGACACTTATCAGTGGAAATTCGCATCAATTTTAGCTACGCATCGTGCAACCCTACATATCCTTCTGAAGCAGTAGAGTTGGACATAGGATTCAGCGTTTGCTCTAGGATTTCAAACCAACCGAGTACACACGTGCCTGGCACAAATCTTCCAACAGTGTCAGAGCCGGGTACGTTCAAGCGCCGCTAGCCTACTGCATGTGCAGCAGAGAAACGTAAATATATTAGGACACCCTCAGGCCTGATGTACAAAGTACAATGTATATGTAGCATACATATATTCCCGACCGGGTCACAAGTGACCCGGTGTTCTTTTGCCAAATGGGTCCACGTACCCCCCCCCCCCCCAATCGGGTCGCTGACCCAGCGCTGGACCAGACACTGGACTATTCTGACTTTCATATTATCACATTATTGTAGTTGAATGCGCACAATGCAACTATTGATTTGGCGACTGCGCAAACCGTCGATGCTTTCCCGTTGGCTTCCATGGTATGGCAGTGATGGACGGCCACAGTTGACGACGAAATACGTCTTACGAACGTATCCTTTCGTGCTATAGATTCAAAGATTGAAATTATGCATTGATGGCTTTCTGTTCTCATGCTCGGTTTCTGTTCGCTACAGTTTAGTGAAGACTGTCGGTGCTGTGAAGGTCATTGAAGATGTCGTGGGAGAGTCCAGTTTTCATCAGACTTCTCCCTGAAATGATCAGTACTTTCACAGCGGATAATTTACGAACTGAGTGGGAGAGTAGACAACTGATTACAAAAAACCAAAAGATTAAGTTTGAAGCTTACACAGGTCCGGCTAAGCAAAACGAGGCCCTGTTGGATGCGGTACGAATAGGCCTCGGCGGGTAATGCTAGTTATTTCAGCTCAAAATGCTTTTAGCATTGCTAGTTACTCCGTCATATAATGCTCGTTAGAATGCTAATTTGGACTTGTAATGCTAGTTGAAAAGGCAATGTGAACCACTCATATGGCATTGTGTCATAATGTAAGTCACACTGCACGGAATACTGCTATTGGAAGTACCTAGTACTTTGAAAGTAGATTATATGGTGATGCTATTTCAAAATGATGTGGAACTGAAGTTGCTATCATGAGCTAGCAGTGAATAACAGTAAATCAGAACCCTACGTCGACAGTCTTCAAAGTACTTTGAGGGTGATTACGGAATGCTATTTTGGAAATTTAGTATAATGTGTGGTATGAAAAAGTACAATATAAGTCAACGTATCACTTCGGGGAATGAGTCAATCAGCACAGTGGGCAACTAGTGCATGAGTATAGGTAATCAGTCCAGACACCAAGACTTGGTGATTCATTGCAGCAATCCATTAGCAACACAATGGGGCATAATACTGGCACCCAGTGAACACACTGTCACAATAGTAGGAATGTTACTAACCCTCGATATGCTTGCTCCTTTGGCTTTGGGCAGTCGTGCGCATGCCTCACCGGGCTCATCCTCCACCTCTGCCTCGTTCTCGTCTTTCTTATTGTCCTCCTCTGTCTCGTACTCATCTTCCTCACTCTCTTCCTCCGAAGAATCAGAGACTTCCAACACATTTCCATTTGATGTACTCATGGTGCAAGCAAGCCAGCACTGCATGACTCTGTGAATAGGAAAGACAAGGCTTCTTTCCGTTTCCCATGATGGCATCAAAGACACATGGTACGTCTATACCTAGCAGCTGCCACTAAGATTCGCAACAAGAGACGCATGTTGCGAAGTCGCAGGCTAACGTTTAAGCAAAACTGCCAAAAGCCGCTGGTACAAAGTACAGTGTGTACGTTACATTGTAGAGCTCCTGTTTTATTCAGTAATGCACACTCATGAAGTGAGAAAATGACACTTTTGGGCGCTAATGGTTGTTTTGGCTCCAAATCCAGGTACAATGCTGGAGCATTGCTAGTTCTCAAAACGATGCTCGTAATGCCAGTTACAATGCTAGCATTACCCGCCGAGGCCTAGGTACGAACAGGAGACGATGAGTCGTTCCATGACTTCCTGGAGTGTGTTCGCAAAGCGCATGCATGTCCAGTGTAAGGAAGATCCTGGAGAAGCTGGACCCCATCGACAAGTACAGAAAACCAGCAGGTGAGATCACTCAGTGACTTGTCGAACGCCTTACTTCTGTCGTGCGTTCAACCATGTTAAGATGTGGAGTGTCGCGCAGTACTAGCCGATCGAAAGTTGGTGTCTACTGGAAAACGTCTAGTGGCAAGTTTAGCAGCTGCTTTCACTGGTGTAACCTGAGACACTCACTTCCAATCATTTTATCATTTACATGTGCATGAATTTCATCGCTCAGTGTATAGCCATCTAATGCAGCCAATCTGGGAAGGTACGTTCGGGCCTGGTTTAAATTAAATATGGCTTTGGAAAATTTATTTTTCATTGCTATCAGCTTCGGCCTCATTTTCTCTGTGCTGCGCTGATGACTTCATGAAGGACGGAACAGTTCTGTCCGCAGATTGAGTATGCAGCCAATATAAACATCTGTTATGATGATGAGCCAATCACACGAGGGGATTTTTGAGTGCATCACGGACTTAAATTGCTTTGGTAAGGGATATCAGCGAACACACTGTGCAGATCGCGTACACATCTAGATAAAGCCCCCACAAATGTCCACACAAGCACTCCATCGCATTCGCAACACAACCAAGAATTGGACAATCTGCAGTCACTTTCTTCAATGAATAGCTGCTGTTACCTGTAATGGGGGCCTGGGACCGAGGGTGGCTGGCTCAGCTCTGCACGACATACATGTACATTGATATTTGCAGTACAAGCATGGTACAGCATATACCTGTTTGTTTGTATTCTTTATTTAGAGTGGGAAGTCCAAAACAGGCCCTAGCCTAATAACAATGGTCCCACTAGTGAGGGAATGTTGTATATCTGTGCATAAGGATCAGTGAGTGTAACAGCAACTAGTAGGGAAAGAAAAAGAGAGAATAAAAACAACTCAAAACAGGAGTTGCGACTTGCATAGGGAGAAAAAACCGTAAAGAGCAGTGCATACAGCATTTGTAAAAAGGCTTATTTATCTGGTAAGCAAAAAGGCAAGAGCCATTGACTTAAAGCGATTGCGTTTTCTTTCTTGCCTGACTGCAGCGGGGAGCTGGTTCCATAAGATGGTCCCAGCATAGGTAACACGTTTGGCAAGGTATGCAGTTGGGCTGGCTGGGACAATCAGTAAATTGCTGTGCCCACCACGAGTTTGAGTGGAATTACTGCGGCTGAAAAAGTTAGCGAACAACATACTGATGTTAGAGGAGTCATGGAGACAACGCCAGATAAAAACCAGAAGGTGCATGTTGGCGTATGTGGTCAATGTTTGGATGTTCATGCGTGTAAGAATATTGCTTGTGGGTGTCCCCGGAGGTACCCTGCAGACTGTGCGTACAGCACGCTTGAAGAGCCCATTAAGCCGTCGACTTTGATACGCCGTGAGAAATGGTAAGTAAGGGACAATCGCAAAAGTTCGCAGAAGCCCCCGAAACGAAGACCGTGAGTTTCGGGCCTGACCCCCCTCCCTCCCCCCTCAAACGAAACGACAGTCACAACATGGGCTTCATTTTTTCACTTGGATGCTCACACATAATAATTATTATAATATACTACAAGCATTGTTGTATCAGTGTGTAACAATGTACAGCACTTTATAAATGCAACGATGATATCACCTTGCAGTGGGTGATCTAAGAACGAGAACAGCTAGAGCTATGCAGTTGTATCCTTTGAGCATTACAATGAACGTTGATTGGTGTATATTGCTTTCACATTCAAGCGATCTACGCCGGCTGTGATGGCATGCTAATCCTACAGCTCCTATAATTATGTCGTCAATACTTTTTTGAATTGAAGCCCGGTTTGCGATTTTCGCACCGACTCCCTCCCCCCCCAAACGTATGCTCTTCGTTTCAGGGGCTTCTGCGACCTTTTGCGATGGTCCCTAAGCAGAAGCAGCATACATAAAGTGTGATAAAATGAAAGAACGAAAATAGGCTATGCGACATTGAAAAGGCAGGAATGTAGCGTATCGTCTGAGCACGCCAACATTGACGCGACGCCCCTTGCGACGTGGTCGACCATGGTGTTCCAGCTCATGTCCGCATCAAAGTGGAGACCTAAATATTTCGCAGAGCGAACAGTTGGCAGAGGCAGTCCATTACATTGCACTTGCAAGTCAAATGTTTGGGATCGTACTGGCGATATCGGCATGATCTGTGTCTTCGTTTCATTCAAGATGAGACCGCGGTTCCTCAGCCAATCGGCGAGGTGCTGGACAGCACTTGAGAGATTTTGGGACACCTCATCCGTGCTCATGCCGCTAGATCTAATTGAGATATCGTCCGCAAATTTCAGGGTCGCAACTTTGTAAGGGGACAGCTCTTTCGCAATGTCACGGACGTAGAGAACAAAAAACAGAGGCCCGAGAACTGACCCCTACGGTACTCCGGAGAAGCTGGTGTATGGTGAGCTCTGTACCTGACCAACTTTGACATACTGTGTCCGATCTGAGAGGTAGTCTGCAAGCCATTGCAGCACCGTTCCAACCGATTCCGACCTCGAATAGGTCCTGAATAAGGGTTTGGTGCTTCACCTTATCAAATGCTTTTGACATATCTACGAAAGCAATCCCCGTGAAGTACTTTTTTTGTCTGGGCTTGGCATGTGCCCTCAACGGCTAATACAAGGGCATCACATGTGGAATGATGTTAGCGATAGCCGAACTGAGTTGGTGGAAAAAGATCATGTCGGCACAAGTACTGAGTGAGCTGATCATGGATGACTCGTTCCAAAAGCTTTGAAACTATCGACATTAGAGACACGGGTCTGTGATTCTTTGCTATGCTTGGATCTCCACCTTTAAACAGAGGTGCAATGCTGACCACCTTCATAGGAGCTGGGAAATGTCCCTCCCTCATGGATTTGTTGAACAGTAAGGCCAATGACGGCGCAAGAACATCTGCATGAGCTCGAAGAAGGGCTGCAGGGATGCCGTCACTGCCAGTTGCCTTCGTCGGATTCTGTTGCTCTAGAAGCTTCCGGACTTTTGCAATAGATACAGGAACAAATTCCACAAAACTAGTTGCCGTCCGTGGCCCTTGGGGTAGGTAAAGATGAACTGGGCGGCTGGTATCTTCCACGATCTTGGCGAAAGCACTTCGAATTGCCTCAGCTGAGCACTGAAGCTGTTCCGATTTTCATTGTTTCCCCGTCAACTGGTTGATGATTCGCCAGGTTTGTTTTGCATTACAAGTTGCAAGCTGAAATTTTGTACTGTAGTACGCTTCTTTCAGCTTCCGGTTACAGGTAGTGGCCTCCTTTCTCGCCGCTTTTAATGTGGCGTACATTTGCTCAGATTTATTATGTGCTTTTTCAAGTAAATAAAAAAAAAAATCTGTCTGACAGCCACTTTCTATGAAGCCGGTTGCGCTTACTCAAAAGGTGCAAGAGCTGGCTGTTCATCCACGGTACCGATCGTCGCTTGTGTTGCTTACAAGATCTAAGAGGGGCATGAGTGTCAAGCACCTGCAGGAAGCGATTATTCCACTCCGTACACATGTCTGTTGGGTTGCCTTCGATGCTGCAAAGATTCTGCTGAATCAAGTCAGCTTTGAAGCGTTCATGATTTATCCTGCGGTAGTTCCGGCACACCATTGATGTCTCGGGACTCCTTGTCGGGTCAAGGTAGAATTCACTCTTATGACTGCCGCATGGTCGCTGAAAACCACGGGATAGACCGTTGCCACATTGTGCTGGTCAAACGTATTGAAGAACAGATCCAATGTGGTGGCTATGGAATTAGATGCAAACCGTGTCCGCTGATGAACGCCCTGGTGGAGACTGTAGCTTGCCGTAAGATCAGACAGGAAGTGGAGCTGGTGATCTGGAGCCGTTGATGGATCCACATTCACATTTAAGTCACCGCACAGTATAACGTTCCTGCCCGGAGGGATAGCTGAGTGTAGAAGACTATCAAGGCGATTCCAGTAGCCAATAGGTTCCGAGGGAGGACGATAGATTGTGCCTATCAAGCAACTCCCACCAGTGCAGGGGATCTCGCCCCAACAACTCTCAACCCCAGCAGCAGCTATATCGCATCTCGGCTTGAGAGGCAAGGATGTTCGGGAATATAAGCAGACACCTCCACCAACTTGATCCTCTCGATCAGCACGCAAAATGTTGTACCCTGCCAAAGTGATTTCTCCATCAGTAATCGTACTATCCAGCCATGTCTCGTTCACACAGACAACATCAGGACAATGCTGGCGGGTGAGTTGTGCCAGGTCATTAATCTTGTTTCCAAGGCTCCTGATGTTTATTAGTAGAACTTTCAGCTTACCGTCACCACTCAGTCCTCCCCTGTCTCTGAATGGTGCTTTCGGATGGCACAATCTACCTGGAAAGAAAGTTGGAGCATGCGCATTCAGTTTCGAGGTGTTCATTGCGCCTCTGCCTGGTCGGACCTGAAGCGCCAGTCACGGAGAGTGTATGCAACTGTTTCAGGCCAGAAAGACTTTTCACTAACTTTGTTCACGTCCTGAGCGTCAACTGTTATTCTCGCGGAAGCCGTTCTGAAGTATTTAGAAGAGTATATAATACATTGCACTATCTCCACGTCCCGATCTCTGCACCATTCAGCGATAGACTGTGCCTGGCAACCATACGGGATTTGCCCCAGGTAAAGAACTTTCCGCGGGCCTCTGGGGACGGTGTCTAACGAAGGCGTCGGGTTGCTATCGGACGTACGTTCCCGGATGTAACGTGAAGACTCGTGGCGGCGGATGGGATTTGTCTGCGCTTTGCAACTGCCAATCTGCCGTTCCGCAGGACTTGTAGCCTCTTCCGTCCCGGAAGGTTCTGATGCTAGCCGCCTCTTGAAGCGTTGATGCTCCTTCCTGGACATGACATCCTCGAAGGGCGCCTGATCAACCGATATGTCTATTGGAAGATCAATAGGGGCAGTATCTCTAGATATGGCCTGTGAATACAACTCCTTGGGGTCATTCCTGGGAACGTCTTCAAATACTGATCCTTCACCTCGGGATGTGGCATGTAGGTCTCTTTGTGCTCTTTCAATC